CTTTTGATATAGAAAATAGTATCTCTGCGAATATTATCTCTTTTGGTATAGAAAACAATATTTTTATAAATATCATCTTTAATAATTACTTTTGGGTATACTCTAGGTTTTTTATTAATATATCTATCAATAATATATCTTATATTCCTTATATCTCTTTAATATTCTTATCTTCATTTTTATCAAATATTAGAATCTGACTGTCTTGCTTTTGATTTTTCAATATTATTACTAATATATTGAATACAATCATAGATATAGATATTAATAATATTATAATTGATTCTGGGGATATTCCTGAATTCTTTGATTTTCTATATAAGTTCTGGTCTGGCATTATCCCTGGAATGCCTTATAATCCAATTATATAATTTTTTAATTATAGATCTATTTCTTTGTTTATATGATTTTTATTTATAATTATTCTACTAAAACGAATAATATAATTTAATTCAGATGAATATATTTTGATATATTTTATAGTATCTGTCGGTATAGTCATCTACTGTACCGGAGTACTGGCACCGTACTAGCGAAGGGCTAGGGCAAGCCTTAGCGAAAGGGCTTCAATACACATATAGTCTCCATCATGTAGAATAGTAATCAACAAGCTTTTTATTGATATCAACACTGAACACCCGTCGGACTTTCTACCATCGTAGATCTGAAAGGTGTTCCCGTTGATACCAAAAATAATAGTATTAGTATTACTGTAATAGTAATGAAGTATCAATAGTACTATCGTATTTCATATATTTGTATTGTCTTAAGAAACTAAACTATAGAAATACTAATGCTAAATGATATATACTCTATAGTGGTTAAAATATTACTTATTACTCTAGTTCTTAACTCTATTGTTTATTATAGCTAAATGAGTAATATTTAGACATTAATAACTATCTAAAAATCGAATGAATTTGTTTTTAATAATCCTCTCCATATTTTATTAGTTTCTTTTTCTCTAATTTTATCAACCCTTTTCATAATCTTAATTTTAATAATATTATTATTGATTAGTTCTTTGAATACTTTTCCTACCTTAGATTTCGTTATTGTATCAATAGGGTTAGATTCTTTATTAATCTATTTGATCTTTATAATCTCATATCATTTATATAATTATTTAAAGGCTATTAAATCGATTATTAGCCTTTTCTCCTAGGTTGTGCCAAGCTTGATAAGACAATCATAAAATGATTTTGAATTAATACAGATAACAAAAAGGATTTGATTTTTTTATAAAAACATTATCTATTATACTTCTAATCACTATATTAGAATCAAATACGAGTGTTATTCTATAGAATTCTAAACCTAAAATACTTAATATAATTCTTTTATACT